GACAAAGTTACTTAAAATCAAAATTGTAGTTTTTTCTACTTAGGGTATGTGGTGCTATGACACGTTTTTCGTCTCGAAATACGTCATTTTGACGTCACAATGACGTATTTCGTGACGTAAACGCGTCATAGTAGCACATAAGTAAAAAAAAGTAAGTAGAAAAAACTACAATTTCGATTTTATGCAACTTTGTCCTTGCTCCTGTTCCAATACATTCAATGTTCTCGCGTTTAAAATACCCCTAATTTTGACCATATATGGTCATTTGGGGGAAATTTGAATTTCTTTAATCAGCTGTAACTTTACTCCCTTTAAGAAAATTTTTCTCTAATTAAGATGTTTTAATGTCTTGCTTCATTTGGAATATAAAATACTGCTCTGTGAGCAAAAAAATTGAATTTACTAAGTTGCGGGAGGAAAAGCCCTAGCAACCGACCATCGTGACATAACTTGGGTCATTATTTTCCTTTGTTTTTACTAATTATCATATATTACCGCAAACAAAGGCAAATAGAAATTGAACTGTAACAGTCACTGTAACAGCACTTACGAGCCAGCTCTAAATACCGCCCCGTTGAAAGCGAAGCAAGTGTGGCCTCTTCCGCTGCTTTCTCGTGATCATGCATCTCGTACACTCCGCTGAACAAGCCATCATCAAACATCTTGTACAAGTCCATTGTAAAAGAGAGCCGAAACTAGACTGGTAAAAAGACTCTTTTGTCTCGATCTGTTCTCTAGAAACAATAGGGAAAGTCACTTCACGGTGAAGGGGAAGGGGGTTGCTATCCACCAACAGTGCGTGGATTAGTTGACCGCTTTCTGAGACCCGTATGGCATGTGTTTCTTTGCCATTTCTCGCATTCTGCTTGTGCAGAATGTTCAATTCCCCGTATTATAATTGTATAGAACTTAGCTCTGAACAACGCGGATGCTTTTTTGAAAAGAAAGAAGGCGTCGAAAGCCTTATCAACGAGTTCAAAAGTTACTCCGACTCCCTCGATATCCCCTCCCTTCACAATCCATCAGTTTACTATTATTGTTTTGTTTCCGAAGATTTTGATATTTGATCAGAAAAAGTTAAGATTCTTTCATGCCACATCAAAGCGATCATCGATTTCTTCGAAGAATTTTTCAGTTTATGGAATCTGAAATTTAACAACCTTAAAAATTCGCTGTATTGGAATTTTAGCAATGCACACAGCCCAATTCTCCAGAAATAAATATATGATAACGCTTAAACCTCTCATCAATAAGATTGTTATCAAGGAGTTATCACTGACGCCCTTAAATTCCATCACTTACACTTCCTTGTATTTTTTTTTTTACCAAAGTAGGTGTTTTGCAAGAGAATGATATTACCGCTTTACATATTGGACGCTACCGCAAAATAAAGATAAAAATAGTTTCGAATACAGCCACTCCATGCTGCTAGGGGCAATGACCTAACGCTGCTAACGCATATGATTATGTCCGTCCACAAGTAAACGAGTAGCCAGTGTTTTCAGAAATTCTTCACTCTGGAGAGCGTTTTTGAAAATATGCCTTTTAACTATATTCGTCGGATCAGAAAGTATCTTTCAAGGCAGTCAACTGAGATACTTGTCCATGCATTCAAAACAAGTCGCCTTGACTATTTCAATGGAGTTTATATGGACTATCAGACTGCTTGTTGAATAAACTGCAACGAGCACAGAACGCTTGCGCCAGACTGATTTTTAGAGAACAGAAATTTTGTCATGTAACGCCTCTTATTTCTGAATTACACTGGTTACCGATTAAATATAGAATCGAGTTTAAAATACTTTTAATTACTTTTAAGATTCTTAATTTTTTAGCGCTTACTTATTTATCGTCTCTCATTTCTCTTGGGCTGATAACCTTTTACTTAGTAAATATCCGCGTTTTAAATCTAAAGCTGCACTAGGTGATCGTTCTTTTACTTGTGCTGCACCGAAACTGTGGAATGCGTTACCATTGGACAGAAGAAGCGCCAGCACAGTTAGAATTTTTAAAGCTAAGCTAAAAACTCACCTTTTCCGTCATGCATTGTTATCATAGTTGTTCTTATTATTGTGAGTTTACTTTTAATTGTAATTTTAGCATTTTAAATCATTGTAAGTTTACTCTTAATTGTAATTTTAGCTTTTTAGCCTTTTTATTTCGTTTTTAATCTTGTCATGCGCATTTGGACATTTTATGGAATTTGCGCATTATAAATAATTTATTATTATTATTATTGTCTTTCAATAGAGTTTCTCCTAATTAATGCTCTAGATATCATATCTTTTCCACTTACCTCTCATTAATTTTCGTGGATCAATTAAGACCCCGTTGAAGAGAGCAGAAAGGATCCGTGTGGCCATTTATTATCATTTGATAACCGACTTAAANTATTGACTATTTCAATGGAGTTTATATGGACTATCAGACTGCTTGTTGAATAAACTGCAACGAGCACAGAACGCTTGCGCCAGACTGATTTTTAGAGAACAGAAATTTTGTCATGTAACGCCTCTTATTTCTGAATTACACTGGTTACCGATTAAATATAGAATCGAGTTTAAAATACTTTTAATTACTTTTAAGATTCTTAATTTTTTAGCGCCTACTTATTTATCGTCTCTCATTTCTCTTGGGCTGATAACCTTTTACTTAGTAAATATCCGCGTTTTAAATCTAAAGCTGCAGTAGGTGATCGTTCTTTTACTTGTGCTGCACCGAAACTGTGGAATGCGTTACCATTGGACATAAGAAGCGCCAGCACAGTTAGTATTTTTAAAGCTAAGCTAAAAACTCACCTTTTCCGTCATGCATTGTTATCATAGTTGTTCTTATTATTGTGAGTTTACTTTTAATTGTAATTTTAGCATTTTAAATCATTGTAAGTTTACTCTTAATTGTAATTTTAGCTTTTTAGCCTTTTTATTTCGTTTTTAATCTTGTCATGCGCATTTGGACATTTTATGGAATTTGCGCATTATAAATAATTTATTATTATTATTATTGTCTTTCAATAGAGTTTCTCCTAATTAATGCTCTAGATATCATATCTTTTCCACTTACCTCTCATTAATTTTCGTGGATCAATTAAGACCCCGTTGAAGAGAGCAGAAAGGATCCGTGTGGCCATTTATTATCATTTGATAACCGACTTAAAAGACTCTTCTGTGCAAACTTTAATTTATTTTCTATATCGATCGGCCTCTGCTTGCAAGGATACTTTTCTGTGAAATAGAGGATCAGATATTTCTCTTCAGCGCCGCATTTATTCATAAGCGTTAGTTCGGTCATTCGATCACTGTTTAATAAAACCGTCAATTTTTGTGGTAAAAATACAAACGTGCGAAACAGTTTTAATAGAGGTAACCGAGGTCGAAAAAAGGAGAGAAATGAAAACTTTTAACTTAGAATTTTATCAATACATATCTTGCTTCGCAGCCTATAAACCTATAAAGAAAACAACAAGCGAACATATAAAGGTCCTGATTTATCGGAACCTTAGAATAGAAACTATAAACACCCACGAGTTTGAAAATTTTTAGTATTTTGACAATTTTCTCGCCAATCAGTCAAAGATATGGTCTGTCATTTTTTTGCTATGGATATTAGTTTAAAAACAGGCATACCTTTCCCAGTTTAGCAGAAAGCGCTTTCTTTTTTGTCCAAATATTGATTGACGGGTAAAATAGGGAGAGCATAACTAATAGAAATGTCCATAATCTTGCACATGTATTATGTGGGAAGCAACTATATTTTATTTTGTTAGTCGGTATGATCTTTTAAAAATATTAAAATCGGGAAATTCATAGGCACCATTTTCCTGACTGAGGGTGCTGAACTCTCATGAGCAAGCGGGGTATTAAGAAGCTGTATTTTCTAATGAACACTTCGCTGTCGCCCATCTAATTTCATAATTGTTAAACCAATATAACGCAGTTTTACTTCAGTGTGCCCTCAATGCTGCTAACACTTTATCAAAACTTTCATTCTTGCAGTATAAAATATTTCGGTGCATAAGCACTATCGCGCTTGGAATTACGCCGATCTCGGGTCTTACAGCTTAAAACCATGAGAACAATCCCGGAATTTTAAATAAAATGCGTTGTTGGCATAACTGGGTGCAGTTAATTTACAAAAAACATTTTCTTGCGGGACCACAGCCAAGCCGGCATCTTCACTGCGAGTGTTCATTTTTCTTGCCCGCTGAAAATATATATGTAAACTTATTATTCCTTTTGTGATTGACAAAGCGTAATGCGCTAATGTGTATCCGGTCACTCTTACAAACCACTTTAGGTATTTCTATAAATTAATGTGGTAAATCAACTCAAGGGTTGAGTACCTAAAGTAGGTAGAAGCTACTCTGAGCCCTCGGTAGAGTGACAACAACTGGCCAGCAGTTTAAAACCATGGCTCGCGTTGCGTGACACGGTGGCTATCGCGCGCTTTGCACAGCATGAATAGCACAACGTAGTCTCTCCAACAGCGTGTCTGGAAACGGCCCAGTCCCTGGCGAATATGTTATCGCTCGGAAATTAAGGTCGTCACGTGACATTGAAGTTGGCTGCCATTACAGAGACTAAATATATTAAGCGATGCCTGGAGCAAACTGCTCAATATTTGGGTGCGGCGTGTCACGAAAGCCAAAATACCAAGGGATCGGTATTTTTAAAATTCCACCTTCCCATAAAAAAAAAAAACATCAACAACAACAACAACAACAACAACAACAAGGAAAGCTGGAGAAAGGCGTCACTGCACGTTGTAACGAGAGACAGGGTTGTCGACGCAAGTTTCCGAAAACAAATAGAAGAAGGGAGTGTGTTCATTTGCGAGAGGCATTTTACGCCAGAAGACATCGAAATTCGTAAGTTTCAGTCCTTTTCGTATTTATTCTTCTATTAGAATAATCTTTTTGGAAGTTTCAAAGTTGAAATATACGAGGTAGTTGACGAAAGAGTGTTAATAACTCAGGCTAATAACAAGGCTTGAGGTCATGATGACCCTAACTTTTTTCAATCCTCATACGACTTTAAGTTCAATCTGAAGCGTAAACTCGTCAAGGATTTTTTTGAAGATTCTGAAGTATTTTACCATGTTAATTAAATTTTGGAGTGAATATTTTTCTTAGAGTTTTTATGTAGGTTTTTGAATTAATTTAATTAAATTATACTTCTGATAAAATATCTTTGGAAATATTTTCAGCGTATTATTTTTAGGTTTTTACTACAGTAAACTATTATTGAATTATTAGCTTTGAAAAGCTTCTTTGAAGAAAGTCAGTGAAGTACGCATGTATATACGTAATTTTATACTGCAGTGCTTTTTAGGTTTTGAATAGATATATGCTTGTTTTTTTGTAGCTTTGGTAACTTGTTTTCAGATGAAACATGGCAAATTCTCCGAACTGGTGCAGTTCCCACTCTCAATATACCAATTAAAAGTCATGCAAGTGAACAAAGCGACGTCTTGCCTCCTCGTGAATATCTCACTGTACATGTTGATGATAAAGCCAAACCTACAGTTCCTTCAGTATGTAAACCCTGTTTTAAGAATGTAGGTGACTTCATAAAGCATATTGATAGTCTTAAGTTGAGTGGTTTGACTAGGTCAACAAAAGAAGATAACAGTTCTATAGCGTTCAGCATGTTTGATGGTATTCACCATCTGCTGAAGTATCAAGTAACTGTGGATTCAAACCTGAGGTTTGTTGTGTCAGTATATGGTTCGTTTCTTCCTGACAACCACCCAATTTACTTAACGAAAAAACGTTCAGTCAGATTTACCACGGCTTTTCCACTGTTGTCACAAGTTCAAGAACTTCAGCTTTGTGCTGGTCTTTCCAAGTTTGATGATAGCAAAATTCAGGATCCTGTTGCGACATATAGGCTCATGCGGCACTCAATATCAAAGATTATTGATCCTTTGGACTTTGAATCATCACCTGCAATCCACTTTCATTAGTTTGACAATAAAAGTACAATTATTCCATTGTGATAAGTTTTATTTTATTCCGACTCATAACCTTTACGCTTGATTGTGTATTGATACTGCTAAGATGTTGGTATTGGACTTAAAGGGTTAAACCAAAATTATTAAACCCAACCACAAACACATGTGGTGCATATATTGCCTCAGTTCTGCTCATCAGAAAATTGTGAGGGAGTGAATCAAAAAGGGGGACTCCCTTGACAAAGAGTGGGGAGACTCATTACAAAATTAAACTCTTTTTATGGCCAATAGCTCGTTTCCATGATCAGGTGGTATCCCTTGACTACAACTACCAGAACTTATAGTTTTTTTAAGATTTTCCTTTCTTATTCAAATTTGTAATCACTGTGGGGTTAAATAAATAGCCTTTAATAATAATCATCACAAGAAGGCAAGAAAAGCAAAGGATGTGAGGTAGTTGCAGTAAATGATGTCATCTTGGAAAATTTCTATTTGAGCATACAAAATGTATGCTCAATAAAAAGAGCTAATGAGGTGGTGGTGAAAGGTTATTTCCTTTGAAAACATTTTGGACATTTTTTGCCTTATTGGTCGCGTGAAAACTTTGAGATGACATCATTTTTTGCATTAAACCCTCAAAGATACGTTGATGTGAAAAAACTGGTGGAAAAAAACCCTGCACATTTGGATTCGTGGCCCTTTTGATTTCTTTCCTCAAGCCTTTCTTCTTGGTTGCCTTTTGCTGAATTTGTTTTATTTTTGAGCGATGTCTTTTGCATGAGAAACGGACCGTATTTTGATAAAGAGTAATAGGATCTGATCTAGGAAAATGTTGGATCTTCCTTTTGTGATCTCACACCCACATTCCTCCACCAACATGCTTCACTTAGATCTTAACACTGGCTTTTGGAGCAGTATGTCAACAATCTTGCGCACACAGATTTTGTGACAGACCTCCTTCCCAGTGTGGACACGAAACTGTAGTTCTGCAGTGACAAAATGTGTCTGTCAGGTATTGCTTAGGGTAGCGCAAACCTCCCCTACCTTTGGAACTACTAAATGCCGTATCCTTAGCAATGGGCTCATCAACATGAAGCGAGTCGAGTAAAGCCATAAATTCCCTTTTTTCTTGGCAAATATTTGTTTTCTTAGAAGCCTTTGACTGGTGTTTTCTATACAAGTTACGCAAGATCTATCCTCCAAGGTAGTTAAGAGGACCACGTTCGGCATCTTTCAAAGAAATCTCTACACGACCTTGACTGGAACTTGGTTTTGAAAATGCCAGTAACTCATAGTCCAAAATGTAAAACTATTACTTTGCGTAAACTCTCAGTAAGAGTTTTGTTTAAGAGTGTCTCAGCTTGTAATGGCAGAGATGAATAGAATTCTTCATAAAACTTTTCCGGGTCATTGTTTTTATACTTAAATGTCAGACATTTAATGCACCCTTTGTATGACATGATCATGTGATACTTTGACTTGGGTACAATCTTTAAATGCCTTTTGCATTTCTGCAGGGTAGCATTCATCTTTTGACAGTTCACTCAAGATTTCATGAATCATATTTTCCAACAGTGGCGGTGGAAGCTTTTCTCTTGCCATTTCCACATAATCTGCTTTGTTACTTTAGTTGACTTCTGGGTGTTTGATTCTTTCTTCGATGAAGCTAGTGTTAAACCTCCTTGAGATTTACATACCTTATCACAATGTCCACACTTGTAAACAGACTCTTCACTTTCTTCAATCTTAACAAAGGAATTGTGGTGTTGAATTTTGTGCTTAGAAAGTTAACTTTGGGAGGTAAGGTGTATTTTATTTCCATTAATTAAATTTCATGACGGCATCACTTGTCAACAACTACCAGAATTCACTGTGTATCTGATCATCCTAGGCTTTCTTATTCACATTTTGCAATCCAATAGGGGAAATAATTATATCACAGCTGTGAGCAAAGCAAGAAAAAAAGACATATTCTGATAGTTGTAGTCATGTGACACTATCGTGAATCTGTCCTGTTGGGCCACAGGCGTTCGAAACACATCTGGTAATGTTGAACATGAAGGGTTTATATGGGAACAGTAAAAACTAGCTTATTGTAAAGAAACGATATAAAATACACTTACTTGAGCTGTATTTAGCGTCCTTGTGTATTCCTGAGGAAATTTGGTTTGGTTTTGCCATTCTGTCTTACCTCAGAAATACACAAGGACACAAAATACCACACAAAATACAGCACAAATGAGTTTGAGATGCCTGTGGTTGGACTGCTTTTAGGTTGTACCCAACAATGATACTATACATATTAGACAATGTTTCTTTGCAAACAAACTAACTTTTAATTTTTTATCTGAGTATGCTTGACTCGCAAGGAATCACACTGAATTACACAGCAAGAATATTTCAAACAAGCGAAATTTTAATCTATCTTTCCCTCATTTCACAACAATGGACTGTGAATCCAGTGAGGATTACATACCAGCCCAGTAATTAAGTAGATAATAAGACGGTTAAGCTCTTCTCTAGAGCCCTCTAAGGCCTGTTGCAAACGTTGTGCTACTGCTGTTCTAAGCTGGCTCGACTGTAGCTCGACTGCGGCACGACACTAGCAAGACTTGGTTGGTTTCAAACGTCGACTATAATTCAGTCGAATAGAACGGCTGTTGCCGAAAACAAAATACAAAAATATAGAAACGGTTTAGCAAACTTTTAAATGTATTCTAATGTATTTATAATTTATGAATTGAGTTCGGCACGGCAGTAGCACGACTTGGTTTCATACGTCACGCTACTGCCGCGCTAAAGTAGAATATAATTCGATTAAGGTGGCTCCCTAGAGTAAATTGGCCGTGCGCAGCCTGAGCACTAGTATGGCGCGAGCTTTAAAATCCGCGCGACGTCCACGCAAAAATTAAAACAAACATGGCCTCTCAGTTTCGAAATATTCCCCCCAAGAAACTTTATTAACTTTCTGTTGAAGCTCATTGTGCAAAGAGTTTGATTAGTGTAGGTCAAACATTTATGAGAGGAGACAATGTTACACCGGTTACAAGTCACTATCGATCTCTAAAAGAGTAAATTGTATGTAAAAACAAGCAGAAATTTCTCAAAGACATCAATTCTTTCGCTTCAAAAGTAGACAAACGTTAAATAGACGAAGTAAATGGACAATGTTTTTGCACAACGAGAAATAATTTTTACTCACAGACTGACCCTTGACGAAAGCAATAGTTGTCCGTCGAGACCTACGGTCTTGTACATGTAGCTGAGGACATGATGTACGATTTATAGATCGGCGCCATCTTTTACAGCAGAATTTTAAAGAAAAACCATATGTTTTCAGTAGCTTTGTGCATTATGCGCATGCGGGCGTGATGGCTCGCGCGCGTATTTTGCTCATACTACCCCGAACCACGCGTGTTTTTCGGATTTTTGTGACGTCAACGTGATTAATTAACCGTGAATTTCTCGCGTTTCCTTCGGTAATTTTTTTTAAAAATCGCCTCATTTCTTGATAGTTGCAGTACCTTTGTACTGACCTATTTTTGTTAAAATCTGTAAGAGCTAAATTCCTCCATTAAGAAAAATTACAAATTTCAAAATATTGGCAAAACCGTCTTAACGACCCCATGTTTTTTCCACTTTAAAATGTTAAGCAATATCGTTAATATAAAGTGGCAAAGTTTAAAGACATTTCACCGTGGGAAATAAGAAATATTAAGAAAAAATGATCAAAAATGACAAAATTACTGCCTGTCTAAGGATGCGATGTTGCCATGGCAACGGCCTTAATCCAGAAAATGAAACTTGATAAAGGAGCCTTCTTATATGGGTAACCTTACCGGTGAATCTCGCGAACAAAATTGCTAGGACAAAGTGACTAGATTTCGTTCTGTAACGTATGCTAGATAGCTAGGGTTATTAGTAAATTCTCTAGGGAGCCACCTTAATTTAGTTCGGTACGGCAGTAGCACGACGTTTGAAACGGGCCTAATCTGTGACAATTCCTCAGTACCAACGATTGCAAACTTCCCAGCTCTCATTCTGAAGGTCGCACCACAGTCACGATTCAAGGTAAAAAATAATTTAGCTTACATCATTCCAAATAGCATCGAGCTCGTTCTCCACCTCATGAACTGAAACAGTCGATCATATCTAAAGACATAAATAAATTTTCATCGTCCACGTCTTCCCGTAAATAGAAATCCAATCTCGGTGCCTTCAGTCTCACGAGCCACGCAATCTGTCATTTTGGCTTGCAAGCGTGCACCTTGCCAAAAGCCTCAACATATTTGCCAGGGACTGGGCCGTTTCCAGACACTCCGTTGGAGAGACTATGGCTTAAAGCACGAAACTGCTTCATTTGATCGGAATGACCAAGTTGTCGATCAATGCGTTGCAAGGGAACGGAGGCATGGTTCCCAAGTTCAAGTATGTATTTAAAGGATTGTAAACTTCCTGAAGAGAAAGCTACTCTGATGATTCCGTCGACATTAATGGACGACCTCGCGGACCTCACGGTGAACATATTTTGAAGAAAATATTTAAAACCCGGAAAGGAAAAAAGGCAGAAGACATGAATACGGAATATGTTTTAATGAAAGGTAGGGACAAATCATACTTTTAAAACATTTATTTGCTTTGCTATTTGAGTTTGAAGACCCCAGATTGTAGATAAAAAAGAGAAATTCCCAAAGAAGCACACACCAGCTGTCCCCCGGCTGGAGCATATAAAAAGTCAGCGTCAAATTTGTCAAACTTAACTTTTGAACTGTTTTTTTGTTATTTGTAAGATCGGATATTTGCCAAAACTAAAGTGATGCAAAGATATTTTACAAAGTCTTGGACCAAACTTCTTATTTAAATACACGTAGATGTCTATTCTACTTATTTCATCGTTCTTTTTTGACTCATGTTAAGCCGAGTTTTGGGGAGAAAGTAGCGGGGTGTAAAGTTGCGTGTGCTTGGTTTTCATGTTAACTAAGAATTCATCTTCTTCTAAAACGCCTTGGGAGGTTTGATCTGTTCTTAATTTGTTGTTCGCCGGTAATACAAATGTTGGTCATCGTAGATAGTTTGGTCACTTGGAATCTAGTGTTTGTGTTAACTGTATCGGAATTATTTCAAGGTGTGAAGTATGAAAGAGGCCATAACCGTGCGTCAGTAAAATAAAGACGATCTATGAAACGCTCACGTTCACGAAATGCTCACCGCTCTCGCTCACGTAATTCATTCGTGCTTTAACTTCCCGCGTTAAGCCGTTACATCTGCTTGTTGGGATTATTTCTTGTTTTTACGCTCGAAAACATCCAAAAAAATCTAGCGAGAAAATGCTATTATTTGTTTATGTTCGAAAAGCAGCAATAAGATGTGTATTATTTATAGAACCGGTCCCACTTCCTGTGTTCATTTATAGAAACGACTGAAGAGGTAAGTTACCGAGCAGAATATTGAACTTAAAATTTTAAACGTGAAACCTTTTCCCCTGCATTTTTATCCACAAGTAACAGAAAAAAAAAAACCGGTATTTTTAATCCCCAAACATAAAGGAATTATGAAGTCGAATTACATCTAAGTGAAATTACTTTCTTTCTTTCTTTTTAAGTGTTAATTGCCCTTCCCTTCTTAATAATCATTTATTAAAATTCTCCTTATGTCGCGTGCCAGCGCCGTGCACTATAACCGCACCTTTGTCCATAATAAATGAAGTGAAACTCTTAACGTTTTGTAACCCATTTGGTCCCATTATTATTCACTCAAAATATTTCGCCATTTCTGACTGGCTCTAATCTCTCGGCTTATTTTTCGAGGTTGCGTAGCACCTAGACTCATAATCTACAAGCCATTTATTTCTTTCATATTTAGGACATAAAAGGGAGGAGGTCATACCCGAATCAAGGCCCTTGTTTTTCGTGGCGTGTACTAAAACCGGAAACAACGAAACGAAACCACCGAAACGAAACGGCCGAAACAAGCGAAATGACCAAAACGACCGAAACAAGTGTAACGGCTGAAAAGACGAACAAAACCACGGACGTGATCAAACAAGCGAAAGTCGGAATATCGAGGAATTGTCCATCTCTCTTGATAGACCACAGGTCGCCCAAGCTCGAAATATAAGCATTGGCGAACATCGACATTGTTGCATAACATTCGAAATATAAGGATTTGCATGGAAAAAAAAAACCTGTAGTTTCCGTAACCTACGAAAATGAAAGGATTTCAATAAAAAACAGCTTATGCGTTGTCCATGGGTCGATTTGTGGCCTTTTCATGGGTTGTACTGTAAACGGTTTTCTCAGTTATTTAAAGGTTTACAAGGTTTACTGTACAACCCATAAAACGGCCATAAATCGGCCCATGGACCACCCAGGAGAGACGTAACACACATTTTATGTAAGGTAAGTGCTGTTCCTCACAGCACCTTTTTCAGCAGAAATCCTTCCTTTCGACAGGGATTTGTCTACTATGCGATGAAAATAGTTAAAGATGAGATAACAGTTCACTATTTGAATTATTGCTGATCTTTGAAGTTAGCCTGTTACGGATGTAGCCAATTTTGCCAAATGGTCGTTTTGGGCGATGCCGAAAACTTTACTGTTTTCCAGTCCCATCAAACGAGGTCTGAATTGATGGTATCTGGAAGGGGAACACATAATTATTAATATAGACGGTCCCATTGTTACTACTTTTGAGTCCTTGGGGATACTGATCATGATATTGTGATTGAGCTACATTTCTACCTTTTTGTCCTAATATTTTTTGCCATTTTTAAATTTTCAGCTGACCAACTAAAGAGGCATAAAAAGGTTTTTTCTGGATGGATTAACCTACAACTTGCAAAAGTAAGAATATGGCTAATTTCACGAAAATACCCACTATAATTTGGTGAATTTTCCACTTTTTAATGCATTGAACTTATCATCGTCATTGTAATTATAATCATCATCGTCTTCTGTTGTCGTCTTCGTTATTGTCGTTGTTATTATCATAATCATTATCAAATGGAACGAGCTAGAAATTGGTATTTATTTAGATCTCAGTAAAGTGGGCACTAATGAAATGAAAAAATTTGATCGCTTAAGTTTGACTGATCTGAAATCTTTTAGCAACTGCTGCCTTTGCAGTTGATATCTGATGAATTATTGCACATTTTTATTCTTGAATTTTTAGACCATGGATTACTTGTTAACCAGCTAATCAAGCTACCGTAAACGCCACGTTAAATAAAGTGTTATCTTATCGTACTTTACTTTAAGTCAGCTCGTGCATATTTTATTAACCCAGTTCTGGGGCATTGTTGTTCTTGCTGTTTCCAACAGGTGAAACCTCCAGCTAAAGTTACTGATCTGACTAGGGACTTAAGAGATGGGCAAATACTCCTTACTCTTATGGAAGTACTTTTTGGAATTAAAGTCACCAGAGCTGAACCAACGTCCAAACGGATCAACCAGATAAAAAACGTCGAAGAGGCCATGAGTATTCTTCTGCAAAACAATATATGTAAACCAGACTCAGATATAGTAACTACAAAAGGCTACAGAAAGGCAACTACCCTGGTAAGAAGAGAAATGTTACTGCAATTCGTGGCATCCATTTTGGAATCACTAGTGATCCATGCAATCTGATTGGCTTTTAGTAGTGTAATTTACCCACGAATCATACTATTTTTGCTCTACATCACATTTTCTTCTAAACTGCACAATTCATGTTCAAAATCGCATCATGGTCTTTCTAAATCGCATCATTTTTGTTCTCAATCACATCATTTTTGCTCTAAATCGCATCATTTCTGTTTTGAATAAAAAGTGAGATGTAAACTAAGCGTTCCCGATTAACTTCTCTACGAACCGGCTACTAGATTAATAAAAATATTGGTACCGCTCAATTTTGCGCTCTCAAATTGGTTATAATAGGCGTTATTTTAAACCGAATTCGCGCTCTGCACCAATCACTCGTATGATTTCACACCAAATTGCACTCTGCTCAGTTACCGCAATTCACGTTCGCAGAGCACCATCCTAAATTTGTACCCAGAAAAAAAATCGAGTTTTTCGCGACGGACTTCCAAATAGCCTGGCCTCTTGAAAGAACGTAGCCGTCCTGGGTACGAACGATACAATACACATGACTTATTTTTCGACCAATACGAGATGACTGTTGGTCCACATGACTTTATCAGTAACACAAAAAGGAAACTTTCAGAGTGTTTCTTGATCTGTTTGCCTTTTACGATCGATTCAAGGTTTCCCTGATGCTAGCGACGGCGAGAAAATCAAGTTTTAACGCGAACATAGGTGAATTCTGTTCTGGTATTTTTACCTTTTACTTGGATACATTTTGAATCCAGCCATATGCGATTATAAAGTGAAAATTTTTGGTGTACACGGCGTACAAGAAATGTCCTTTCGACTTTCGACTTCCGTTTAGTTATTTTAACAAATAAAGTTCCATGAATTAAAGTGTGGATCTTTCAACTTTGAGTCACATAAAAACCGCATGCAGCGTTCAGGTCAAATAATTATTAATCGAGCCTTTCCCGGTAGCACTGTACTTTATTTTTTTTTAAGTAATGATTTAGAAAGTTATAAAAAAGAAGCTTATATCCATCCGAATGATTTCATTAGAGAGCTTAAGCAGAGTCAAAGAAATTAAAGCAACTTTTAACGAGCAAAACATTACCCTGCACGTGCATGATGCACGCTTTTCTGTCGGTTTTTTTTTTGCGTCGCTGCATGACTAAAAATATGAAACAAATGAAATTATCCAATTACTGCTAGTACATCTACATCCTGCAGCTGAAGAAAAAACAAAATGTACATGTATCGTTTGTTTTTTAACGTTATGTAAATCATTACTATCATCATCAACTATCTTTTTTTTACTCCTTGGACGCTAACTCTTCAATAGAATCCTGTAAAAATCTATGGTCTGCCCAGAAATTACACGCCCATTGAATAGATGGCCAAGTCTTCTCTTCTCCGAGGGGATTTCCTGTTAACATTTGGTCGATTTAGTACCATATTGACCCAAGCTCTACTTCAACTTTATAAACCTTTTTCACGTGAGCCTGGCCATGATGGTGTCCCAGGCCAGTCCTGTGGGAGTTAGCCTCTTTTCTTGCGTAATCGCTTTCTTTTGGTCTAGTGGTCAAAAAGCTTTTATTATTTATAGTTGTTAGCTATTCCTATTAGTAGAGTACGCATGTACTGAGTTGAAATTTTGTGTTATTTTTAGATCAAACCATTTGGTGTAATCCCAAGTGAGATCACAGCCGGTGATGAAAAAGCTATTTTATCTTTGCTCTGGCAAATCATCCGCTGGCGTCAGGTATAAAATTACTTGAATCTGTATCTTTAAAAATAGCTTTACTGTCTAAAAAAACTCTTTTCTTGGCCTCCAAATTGCTTCTCAAGTCTGAATACCTCTCTGACTGGTCTTGTTTACTTCGCTGTAAGGGAATCCAGATTCCAGAATCGGGGAAATTTTTGCTTGTGGAATCCTGAATACTGGTACTTTGAATCTGGAACCTACAACCTGGAATCAAGAATTCAAGACTGTCTTGGATTCCCTTACATGAGGATCCCTACTGATAAAGACCGCTTCAATCTTTATCTGCTGTTCTTTAATTACCTAATGTTTTCTATCAAGATAACAGAGGTGATAAAACCAGACCCTATGGATTATGATGAAGACAAGAAGTTGATAACTTGGTGTCAGGAACGTATCAAGGGGTTTGTACAGAGCTTCTATATCACTTTAACTGTATCTAGTCATTTGAAGTATATGTATGTATAGGTAGAGTATGGTCGACCAGGTGAGCGTTGTACTGAATAGGACTGTAGTTGACAGTGACTGACGTTTTGACAACCTGTGCGGTAGTCATCTTCAGCGTCAAAGTGAGTTGTATCACGTCCGATCCGTTGATGGTTATTGACCTGGTTGGTCAAATAAGTCGCAATTTTGTTGGTCGTCTGTCAGTTAAGCCGTGATGTTATTCGCTATGAAGGCTCTATTTAAAAGTCATAGTGCTGCATCTCGATCCGTCTATTGTCACAGTTTAACAGTCGTGTTACTAATGCACGAGTTAAGTAAGCCTGTACACAGACGTTGTTTTATTTGTCTTTTCGTTCTTCACCCCTTGCGATGCCAGTCAATAAATCCCCCGCGGTTTTTATTATTTATCACGCGCGCTCGACGAACTTAGAAGAGAAAATAAAGGGTCTGTGAACAGGCTACTCTTAAGTAAAGCTGTTTTAGTATGGCTGTGCTACATTGTTACATGAACTATTTGCTGATATACATTAAATTCTTCAGCCGTTTGTTATGAAGCGCAATACACACTAGTTAACATCAACGTAATTTACCGATCAAGGTAGTGATGTAGGTTCTTTAATTTAGGATAAGTTTTTCTATGATCAATAACAGAAACAGCAATGTGCAAATCAGTAACCTGACCACCGACTGGAAGGATGGTTTGGCATTCAACATTCTTCTTCACTCCTTCAAGTAAGTCAACACTGAAAAAGCTCTTGATCTCCCTACCACCTTATCTCCAGTCATCATCGAACACCAGCGAGGAAGCCGGAACGACCAATAGATGATTTTAAATTTTTTTCACATGACATGAGAATTCCTTTTTAGGTCATCCTTGTCATAAAAGCTTTGGTCCCTTTAGAGGAATAATCCGCAGCTGAGGCTGTCGAAATTATTTCCAATCTAAGAATTGAGACACAGGGGTGCATAACAAAATCAATGGTTATTGATTCAAAATAATTTCCATTCCTTAATTGCTTCAATCTCTCGGCTGATTCTTCGTTACCTATAATATACGGTAAAGTGACGTCATTAGTGCTAACATCGTCCGAAAAAGAAACGTCAAGCGAGAAGCCATGGGATCGACGAGGTTGTTAGCTCACGCGAATTGTGTCCAAAGTGTCCAAATGAAATGCAGTTTCACCATTTTGTACGACGCTAATCTTACAACTTGAAAGACTCCCCACCGAACACACAACTGGTAATTATTGTTCTACAACTCGCACGAGGTTTACTACTTGAATCTAATTTTAATAGTTGAACATGTAGTGAATATTGGACAGGTCTGGACACGACTGCCTCAATCACATAACGGTGCGCAGTTCCTGTCATAGTTCTAGACTGGGAATGAGCTCTAGATCTCTTGCTCAAAAACGGTTTTTCCTTTTTCTACCTCAAAGCTTAGCGGTACTAGTAGAATTTTACGAGTGAAAGTGCGTTATTTTAATTTGTTTGTTCTATTTTTCCCAGTCCTTCTCTGTTTGATCTTGATACGATCAGTTCAAAGGACGAAATGAGTCGTCGTGCGCATGCGATAAACCTGGCGACTACTGAATATGGCGTGCCAGCTATTTTCGACCCTGAAGGTAAGATTGGCAATTGAGGCATCTTTAGTTAAATTCCGGTTAGAAGAAGGGTTTTCCACTTATAATTTATTAAGCTTTTCCACGAAAACATATGCACCGAAGCAATTTTGGTTAATCGATCTTCAGGGGCCGTTTTACATAATGTATTTTTTGGATTTTTCTTCGTCGAGCATTTCAAAGTTTTGATGAGAAGGCTCTTCAAGTTTTTAAATAGTCAGTACACAAATACCAATTTTATTTAAAGAACTCTTGCAAATTCTATATTATACGTTTGTTCTTATTTCTTTGTGCAGATTTTGACAAGGATACTGCCGATAAGAATCTTATTACGTTGTTCCTGTCATATTTGTATCAATTTGCGGCCAAAGGGAGCTCTGTAACGATCGTGGAAAAGGAAGTAATAAGTCCTTTCGAAACATCACTGATGGCGGAGGTAACGTTAATCCGCTTCATTTAAATTTCAGTGGGTATTTAAAAATATTCGTATCAAACCCAGGTCTAGTCTGTTAGTTATTGTATATGTTACTTTAAATAACTTTTACTGATTTTCTTAATCAAACAAATCGGAAAACGTTAAGTAAGTCAAGCCCTGCATTGACGCTGTACACGCTAAAAGTCCTGCGTCAAAATTGCTATCTGGATCAAACTACGACAGTGTAGTTAGGTGTAGTTACTACCGTGGCATTTTGAACTTCTATCTTTTATTTATTTATTTCTTTTTTAATTAAGTTAAATAACAAAGCAAATTCACAACTACTTTTCTTCTTTCCATGGTCAATATCTAATTGTGATTACTCTTGGGCCAGGAATATGGTTTCAAGACAATCTCGACACGCCATGAAACGTCGCGTTTAGTCAACACTACAGTTGACTTTAAAACAATCACACAAGCTGGAGAAAAGGATCAAGACGATGTATTTCACGACTTTAAACTAGGCAAAGAATCTGGACAAAAAACACTACTCTATCCTTCGGCTTTCCCTCAAGGCGTAAGTGTTGAGCAGGTAAGATAAGTGAAGCACGTTACTTTAGATTATGTGGCCGAACGAAACACAAACGTAATTGAGTGAAAGCTATATACCCAGCTTAGTTGTCTATAAACCGCCATTGGAACTTTTTAGCTGGCGCGTTGTAAAGATTCTCTTTAGCAAGATTGTGACATGTGACCCACACACTTGTTAAAAAAAAGAAGAAGAAGAAAAAGAAAAAAAATGGATCACTCGAATTACATCCTGCAGTTTATCAAGTGCCAAAAGGGATCACGAGCTGATGTACAACTTATATCCCTCTAGAGCAAATCTAGAGCACCCTGGTAAATCTATCATCGGGTTGGGGCGTCATCGCTCTCTTTACAAGAACTTGTTTTCTCTCCTTTTCTCTTTCTCTTATTCTTTATATACGCCCATTTTTTTCTACTAGTGGAAACACTCAGATATAGTGCAACTTCTTTCAACTCTCTAGCTGCGAGCAAAACTAACAAAAAGAGAAATGGCCAAACAAATTACGAATGTAGAAGTAAAAGCTTATTGTTATGCTGTTGGATCCGGTGCTTTCCATTCATTTCAAATAAAGCATCATCCTGTACTTTTTTCATTTGCCTATACACTTGCAAACGCGTGCGTACACTTTCACGTTACCGATACTTTTTAAAAGACGGTCACTTCATTTCTTTAATATTTTCAGAGAAGACCTTTTGTTGTGTCTCCATTTCCAAGACAGTCAGGAGGCTCCTCCAGAGCTTCGAGCGGTGCATCCAGCCCTATATCCAAAGATTCAGACCCCAAGGTACACTGCAGTGGAAAATTTTGCTTGACAGAATTACTTCAGTGCACGTGGGCTCTGAGCGAGTGGACATGCGCTTAGAGCAAGTAGAGTTGTTGTAATTTTTTTTACTTTTCCTTCCCGCCTCGATTAGCTACAGGCTATTTTGCGGGCAAGGATCAATTATGGCATGTATTCAATGCATTTAATAAACGTGAACTTGAACTCTTTGCTACTCGTCTGCCGCAGTTAATGTTACTCTTATTTATTGGTAGTTAATAGATATTTTTGGAAGACATCGGCATTTGAGTATTACTCCGTTTTTGTCAGTTATAACAGAGATAAACTTTTTTGCGGCCTACTTTTCTTCCAGGAACTGGAATTGGAAATTCACAAGTTAGCACGACCCCTTGATACTTTAGGAGAGGGAAGTTATAGTTACACTGTTACACAAACCAGGCGAATTGTGACAAATGGAAGTGACAGGAGTTCTTCAACAACTGCCTACAAGGTATCTATCTTTCGCTTTCATGACCAGTTTATTCAAAAGTGGTTTTACTTTCAATTATGTATCCTTAATTAGGCATATCAAAAATATTTTAAGACATCATAACGCTTAAAAATTCCTGACCCGTGTTCCCTTTTTCATTCTTTTAACCAATTTCATACCACCTCTTCCTATGTAGGACCTATAAGGTCTTGTAAAAACGTTTCTTATACCTGACAATACGTAGATATTTAAGTCCAAAGACATTACCACATGTATCAGCGACTCTGAGACCCCTAATACAGTAAAAACCTGCGTGTAAGAATCTAGTGGCTTAAGAACCTGCTGCCAAAAATATTTGCCATTTTAATTCCCCAAAATATAAGAAACTTTTTTGCCGGGATTTATCTGAGTGACAGTTGAATTATGATAAACGTTTCCAAGGAGATTGACATGAGATTTGAAAATTTATAATCAGAAAATAGCAAAAAATAAGAGTATTAAGACGGAATCCACCAGGAAATCAAGTAATTTTAATTTTGAATGGACAAAAACCTTGTATCAGAATAATTTAAAGCATATTGCACTCTGTTTTTAACATTTTTCAAGGGCTAAAAATGTAATTAGTCATTTGTAGTAACACCAAAGAAAATTTCTAACGGTATCCCTAGAAAATGAATGTTAAATTTCACAAGAATGGTGAAAAGGCAGGTAAAATTCTGAAAATTTAATGTGTTAAGATATAATTTTGCGAAATTTGGCATTCATTTTCTCAGGCACTCATAATAAATTTTCTTTGGTGTTACTACAGATGACTAATTACATCTGTAGCCCTTGAAAAATGTAAAAAGGAATGTAATATTCTTTAAATTTTTCTGGTACAAGGTTTTTGTCCACTGAAAATTAAAATTACTCAATTTCCTCGTGGATTCCGCGTCTTAATATGATTGTCGTTCCTACAACTAACAACAAAAAAGTTACATAAAGCACAGAGTGCAAATTTCCTCATGGACCCTGCAAAAAGGAGCTTGTGCATGTTTACAATATACAGTTGTGAATAAAATACTGTATATATCAGAACCAAACCCAATTTTTTTGTTTTAAATCCATCTACTTCACATTGAGCCTCTCGCGCGCGCGAAGAGCGCGCAGCGAAGCACCATGGGTTAGGAAACTTGGTTGTTTAAGATCTGGGAAATTTTGGTAGTGACTTGCTGTCAAGTGACCGTACGCCCGTCCGTCTGCACCCCAGGTACATCAATGTAAAAAAACTCAACCAACAGTTATGGCAACCCAAATGAAAATCGAGGTTTTTTTGGCGGGAAATCGCATGACCAACCGCTTCTTGTGAAGCAGGGACAATTAAAGAGTCAGTAAGACAAAACGGAAAGCGGAAATTGTTTCTATATCCGTGTTGTCTAAAGTATTAAGCTTAGATTAATTGTCATATCCTCATATTTGGAATATAGAGAAAGAGAAAGACAGAGAAAAAGAGAAACTACGCGACAGGCTAGCGAAACTCAACAAGAAGAACGGCGACATTAAGCTAGAGCAAGCGATAAAAAAACAAAGTAGGCGAATTTCGTAGGAGGGGCAACATTTACATTTTGTAGCGGCGGTGAGAAAATAAGAAATACTAGCAACCAACAAGGTGAAAAAAGAACAGCACTGGAAAAAAAAAAAAAAGCAAAAAGGAATACAAGCAACAATTTTTTTTGTGAGCACATACAACAATTTTTCCATAAAACGTGTAATGAGGAAGTTTCACGTGGCAACAACAACGAAAAAGAAATGTAAAAAAAGTGTGCTGCATGTGCAAAGTTGTTTTTTTGCTAATTAGATTTATTGTTTCTTTGGCCGTTCTCGTTGCCGTCGCCGTTTAGTATTACACGATTATATTTTTTGAGTAAATTATTAGTATATTAACGAGAGCATCGCTTTTATCCCCGGCTAAATGTATATATTAGAAATTAAGAACCTGAAGGGGCTAAATTGCCAATAGCTACCCCAAAATACAAGAACCTTTTTTGACAGGTTTTTCCACGCGGGTTTTTACTGTAGATCTTCGGCCTAATGTGTTTTTCCTGGAGAATTTAGGGTTTTGTGTAATCAAGAAGCGATTATGCTTTATCATTTCTAAGACTCAATCTGAACTAATGCAGCCGCTATCCTCAACTCATAGTTGCAACAATGCTAACAAGTCTTCTCTTCTTATCTACAGACACTGCAATCCTCAGCCGCAGATTCAAGTACAGTCATAAAAGTAACGAACACTGACAAAGGTACCGACATACTGAGTGGAAGAGGAAGTAAAACAGATACCAAGGTCACAGAAAGTAGCGTGAAAGATACAGTGATAACTAACAATAGAACGGACCAGTATCCTGACGTTTTTTCATGGGAAAAAGAAACAGGAGGAAGCATTAGGACCACCGTTCATGCAAGGAGAGAAACAATGGACAAGAAAATAAATGAAAAGGAAAAGGAGAACGTGGGAAAAACAATTAACGTACGTATGAACTGTTGTAGAGATGTACAATCCCCGTTTATGTCATCTAAACAAATTCTTTAGTCTTCCCCAAAACCTCACCTCTTTTTTGTATTTGTTCGGAAGAAAAATGGTCTGTCTTTTATGTCTTCAGAGACATTGATAGTGAAGAGAAAAAGAAAAGTCAAAAATTGAAATTTTAACAATGATGTCTCTATAACGATATGAAGTCTTTTTCAGTGTTTGTTCGATCTTTCACGGGTTTATCTGCATGCTGATTTCAGAGAGTTGTTGAGCGCGCACTAAAGAAATAATGGGAGGTATACTGGTATCATCCGTTAGGGTGGGTTTCTACTGCCGCGTAATTTTTACGTGCTTACGCACGCTAATTTTACGTGCGTAAATAAGATGGAGACAATGTATTGAAGGTCTCGCGTACTCGTAAAAATTGAACCTCGCTCAACTTTACTTTTACGCTTGGCCTTTCATACTTGCTTTTATTTTATGTAAGCGCGTAAATAAAATAGAGACGATGTATGCAAGGTCACGCGTAAAAGTAAAAGTTGAACCTCACTCAACTTTCCCGTTTACGTGTGGCCTTTCATACATTGCCTCTATTTCATTTACGCTCTTAAATTTTACTTGCCTTCGAACGGAAAATTACGCCACAATGGAAATCAGCCCTTAGAAAAAACGTTCGGCCTATCAGAAGAGCGAGTAGGATTTCGTGAAATAATTGATAACATTATTGAGACAATGGATAAACATGATTTCAAGCTTATTGAATGTCAGAGTACGCTTTTTTATTAAATAAAATTAAAAGGGAAAAATCTGCTCTTCTTGGCTCGTAATAAGGTTACCGTAGCTACATAGACCACCAGATTGTTCAAAATACGATTGTGATAACGATGAGAAATTTCAACTTCCAGGATCCCGAAAAAAAGGTTCCAAACTTAACATTGTCCACTACGGACACAGGAGCAGGGAGTTATGCCTATTCTGTAACCCAAACAAGGAAAATCATCACAAGCTCAGGAGAAAGGGTTCATTCTACAACATCTAATAAGGTATGTTTTCTTTTATTAAGAAATCGCAGTTCTCTGATAGTGTAGCATTGAAAATATATTTTAAAACAATGGTCCATAGTTTCCAGCCATCTTCCCACGGAAAACAGGAGGACGGAGTTACTTCTTCGACTTCAGACATTACAGTCCTCATTGAGTGAGTCAAAAACCTTGATGCAAGTAACAAATGTCGCAGTTGCGAGTGGAAATAGTGATATGCACTCTACTCTTCTTCTTCTTCTTCTTCTTCTTCTTCTTCTTCTTCTTCTTCTTCTTCTTCTTCTTCTTCTTCTTCTTCTTCTTCTTCTTCTCCTTCTTCTTCTTCTGTGATAAAGTACTGGGGATGTATTCTCGAGAAAAAAGTTCTCGAGACAAAAAGAAAACTGTTGTTGGCACAACTTTTATGTTACTATTATTTGATTTAAAACAACAGACGCATCGTGGATCATAACCCTTTTCTAAAAGAAAATGTCTTGCTCGCTCACTTGATTAATATCAATTCCAGAGAAAAGAACTCTACACGCTTCGATCCGCTTGTATCTGGCGGAACTCTGATTCGAAAGGAAAAAAAACTTTTTTCTTTCTTTTCCTGCCAATCATCTTATCTCACGCAAAACCCAAAAAGTAGAATGGCAAATCTCAAAGGATAACAACTCCGTGAATGATAATTATAACCAATGAAAACTTCCTCTGTCTTTGAAGGCGTATTCTAATTTTTCTTCCAGGACCCTAAAGAGGACTCTCTTAAGTTAAAATCGCCTTCACAGATCTCAGGAGAAGAGAGTGGCAGATACACGGTGACCAAGACCAGAAGAATCATCACATCAGGAGGACAGGTTAGTTCCACTGCTAATGACGAGGAAATTTCTGACTTTCTTATCAGCTTTCATATATACTAAATTCGCCTTCTATCAACGCCCTCAAGAAGAAATAAACTAATAAAACATTAAACTATTCAGAGTAACATACTAAGGCCGAAAGAATAATGTTAGACGTAGAGAACTGGCCAACTAAATTCCTATTGCACTTATTTCAACCGAACTCTTTCAATTCGTAAAATGCTGACATATTTGTTGTCTTGTCTTGTGTTCACGTTCTCCGCAAAACGTGAACTTAGGCCCCACTTTCACGTCGCAGTCTTGCAGTGATGGCAACGAAATGTACAAAAAAGTGTGATACACGTGCAAAGTTGTTTTTTGCCAATCTAAGCCTATAAGGGCTGCTTTTGGTCGTTCTCGTTGTCGTTACCGTCGTCGTCGTCGTTGCTTCAGCTCCTTATTTTTTGTAAACGTGATCGCTTTGTAAAGGAGGTTAACAAGACAACTACTTCCTTTCAAAGAAAGTATTTGTCTTGTTCACGTCCTCTACAAAACTCTTGAAATTAGGCACTTGGTCACGTCGTTGTTGTTGCAATGTATAAAAAAAGAACGGGATGTATGTGCAAAGTTGTTGTTTTGCAAATCTTAGGCCCTGTTCACACTACTGCGTTTTCAAAAGTATGCGTTTTCGTTGTCATTGACAACGTGTCGATTGATTTGCATCCACACTAACCTGTTGATGCGTTTTCGACTCTCCGTATTAAAAAGTTCGAAAACAATAGGGTTGCACGTTAAGAGGTAAGTTGAACCTTGTGCGCATCCTAGAATCACGCGCCTGCGATATTTCCTCTGTCTCTGAAGGTGTTTTCTAATTCTTTTCCAGGACCCAGAAGAAGGCTTTCTTAAGTTAAAATCGTCTTCACAGATCTCAGGAGAAGAGAGTAGCAGATACACGGTGACTCAGACCAGAAGAATCGTCACAAGTTCAGTAGGACAGGTTAGTTTCACCACTAACGATAAGGAAATATCTGATTTTCTTATCAGCTTCTATATATACCACATTCGCGCTTTATCAACGCCCTTAAAAAGAAATAACACTAATAATACATTAATTAATCTATTCAGAGTAACATACTAAGGCCTAAGAATCAAGTTAGACGTAGAACAGGCCAACTAAATTCCTTTGTTAACTTTGTTAACCATGTTCGATCCCTTTGACATTTAATTCAGAATTGTGAAAAGAATTAACAGAAAAACAGGCGCCCCTGTTTCTGACTGGAATAAAAGGCAGGTTTTCCTTTCCAGAGTGTTTTGGAACCTGAGATGTTTAAAGGCAGCGTAATAATATAGCATAAACTCTCTCAATTTAGCCACACACATTTAATATCTTACATTTTATAATCAACAGACCCTACAATCTTCAGCTGAAAATTTCCAAACCGTCAGGAAAACAAGAGATGGTATACATAAAGACATTCTAGATAAACAAGGAGATGAAACGAATGCCAAATACAGAGAAGTGACATTGCAAGTTACACCTATATTAGGCAAAAACATAAAAGCAAGTCAGCAGACACTATTTCCGAGGGAAGATGAAAATAAGGAGAAGGCTAAAATCACTGTTTACACAATAGGAGAGGCAATAACAACCAACGAAGAGCGCACGCCCGTAAGTGTTTGGTGTGGTTATGATAATGCGTGATCTTTTTATATACTAGACTTTTTTGGCGCTTTAGTCATGTCGTTACTTCCCTTTACGTTTGACCGATTTTTTGGGTTAGACGTCCTAACTTAGCAATAGTGAGCTTAAGCAACAAAGACGGTGGTGGTTACGAAAACGTCACTTCATAAAAAGTGAATTCGATTTGCTCCAAACTTCGTCGCACTTATTCCAACCGAACTCTTTCAATTCGTCAGATGTTAAGAAATTTGTTTTGGGGTTTAATTCTAAAAGACTGTATCAAATTTCAGGAAAAAAAGAAAAGAACGTTGTTTTCTTGTGTTCACGTTGTCCGCAAAACTTGAACTTAGACCTCATTTTCACGTCGCAGTCTTTCAGCAGTGACGGCAAAGAAATGTACAAAAAAAGAGTGATGCACGTGCAAAGTTGTTTTTTGTCAATCTAAGCCTATTGCTTTTTTGCCGTTCTCGTCGTCGTTACTGTCGTCGTGGCCGTTGCCTAAGCTCCCTATTGTTTATAAACGTGTCTGCTTAGTAAAGGACGTTAACAAAGCAAAACAGAAAAACAACTACTTTCTTTGAAAGAAAGTAGTTGTCTTGTTCTCGTCCTTTACGGGACAAGACAACAGCTTACTACTTTTTTGTCTTGTTCACGTCCTTTACAAAACCCGTGAAATTAGGCACTTAATCACGTAGTTGCTGTTGCAATGTACAAAAAGCCGTGATGTACTTGCAAAGTTGTTGTTTTGCTAAAATAAAGACCTGTCCACATTAATGTGTTTTCAAAAATGTGCGTTTTCGTTGTCATCGGCAACGCGTCGATTAATTTGCATCCACACTTCCGTTTTGAAGCGTTTTCGATTGTCCATTTTACGAAGTTCGAAAACAATAGAGTTGCACGTTGAAAAGTAAGTTGAACCATGTGCGCATCCTACAATCACGCGCCTGCGATATTTCCTCTATCTTTGAAGGCGTATTGTAATTTTTCTTCCAGTGCCATAAAGAAGACTTTCTTCCGTTAAAATCGCCTTCAGGAGAAGAGAGTGGCACATACACGGTGACTCAGACCAGAAGGATCATCACAAATTCAAGAGGACAAGTTAGTTCCACTACTAATGACGAGAAATATTTGACTTTCGTATTAGCTTCTATATATACCGGATTTGCGCTCTATTTACCAGCTTAAGAAGAACTAAAACTTATACTAGTTACAGCTATCGTTAAGTGCCAACGAGAGAAGATTTAACCTATACGTGCGCGCTGTTGAATTTGTTTAGAAATGTCATGAAATACAGTAATTGATGAGAGACAGGTTGAACTTAATTCGTTTGCATTCGAGTGCAAACTTAAAGCAAGGGGCACACATACAACAACCCACGGCCGTGCCAGTACTTCACGCATGAGTATAGCCATATCGCGCGGTCAGTGGCAGCCACAGACAGCTGTTTCACCCTTATTGGGAGCCGTCGGTCAGTGACCGGGCAAAACCCGTGTTTCTTTGCATCTTGACGGTTTATGAGGGGCGGTGCGATGCCCCAAGGCCATGAAAACAAAGGGAAAAAAAACGGTCCGACAAAAAAGGAAAACAAAAAAACTAGGCTACCCTACACGGTAAAAAGACCGCCAAAATGGGAGGGGGCCCCTCCATATATACGGAGCCAGCTTGGCTTCGTGAACGGGGATCAGGAAGGTTGTTGTCCACTCCGACTGCGGGCCCGTTCGTGGCTGAGGAGGCCGATGCGAGGCAGGCAGGTCCTCATGCAGTGTCGGCACATGTAGGTCAGGTCTGGGTTGTCAGCGGTGGAAAAAGCTTGAGCTTTCCTCCTCTGTCGTTTGTCTTTGAGGGAATCTCTCCGGTTCTCTTCAAACTGTGAAGCAAACTGTGGAGACCTGCCTGAAATTTAGCTTTCACTTCAGCTGAGCGGAGGTCGCTGACAATGAGTTTTTTTCCTCTGGGAACACTCTTTCTTGGTTTTATTTGAGCTGAAGGTTGAGTTTGCAGCGGACAAGGCGTTGATCTGTATGGCACCGTGCGCTGGGCATAACTCTGGTGTGCAAGACATCTTTCAGGTCACATCGGCGCACTAAAACAAAGTCGAGGAGATGCCAATGTTACGACCGACGATGCATCCAGGTTGTTTTCAAATTGTGTCTTTGCTGGAAGATTGTGTTTGTAATGGTGAGTTGTTGCTCCGAGCAGAACTCTAGCAGTAAGCGCCCCTTGTTGTTGCAGTTTCTAACGCCATGTCTCCCAAGGACTCCTTTCCAGGCTTTAGTGTCTCGACCACCAGGCTTCAGTGTCTCGACCAATTCAAGTCACCAAGGATCGGTACATTGTCGACCGCGGGGGTGCTTTGCAGTAGCCTCCGAAGGTCGGAGTAGAATCGTTCCTTTTCTGCAGGTTCTGCCTGAGGCGTAGGGGAGTAAACACTGAAGAGTGTGAGGTGTTGTTCGATGTTCAGCGGAAGACGCATGGAGACGATGCGATCCGAGTGACGTGAGGGCAAAGTTTCAAGTTTCGAGACGATGGAGTTCCTCTCTATAAAGCCTACACCTGAAAGACCTTTCTCAGTTGACAGTTTGCCAGATCAGTAGATGGTGTAACCGGCACCCTGTTCTTTCAGGCAGCCCTCTTCTCGGAGGCGAACTTTACCGAGAGCTGCGATGTCGACATCGACTCGTGATAATTCGTGCGCAACGAGAGCGGGGCGGCGTTGTGTATGACCGTTGTCGGCTTTGTCGAGCATGGTCCTAATGTTCCAGCATGCGACTTTCAAGCCCTTGTAGTCCTTCGGTAAGGATTTCCTTTGTTTCCTTCCACTTGACTTATGATTTGATTCTGTTTCTATTCGGCCGCTTGAGAAGATGCCCGTTGACGGCGGCCAAGTGGGTATAGAGGAGACGAGCTTAACCACCTGTATTCAGGATTGAGACTGCTGCTTCCAGTGACATCTTCCACCTGCCGTTTTCGCCCCTTTCCCATCGCTAAAGGACTTGGTGGTTGTGGTCGTAGACATGGACCTGGACAAGTCCTTTGGCCTGCGCTGCGGAGTTTTTAGGTGGAGTACAGTGCGCGCAAACTGGCCCCACCCTTTACAGCCGAAGTTCATCCGTCATGGCCTAGCAAGCTGCGACGGTGGCAGCGAAATCGACGGGTCGTAGGTTTTACATCAGAGTTTCCCTCTCCTAGGCGGGTAGCCGACCAACGCTGACGATTAATATCGTTGACTTTATTTGACCTTTCAGTACTACTATTACTTTCATTATTTCCATCCAATTCAGCAGAATTGGCAACAAGAGAGTTTAACTCTTGGCTGCTTGTAAAACAAATATTGAAATTAGGGCTTGGAGCAGATTACTCCTTTTGGCAGGTGAGCCCTTGTCTTCCCTACTGCTTTAGAGGCTCTTTGGTTGGACTCCGTATCAGAAGAATCACCACTGAGAGGGACTAAGTCCTGCAGAATCGACTGACTCTGCAGTAGATCGAGCTCGTTATCCTTAAGAAGCTGAGAGTCAGAAGAATCACGAGAGACACTGGCCTCCGCAGACTGCGAAGATGAGGCCAGGGGCGGAAAATGTGGAGAGGCGAAGATAACACGGACGACCTCGTACGCAACCTGGACAGTCTTGACGTCAAGGTCGGCGAAAACCCGAAGAACTTCGGTCATGATCTCGTCCTTGGTTTTGTCAGCCAGCTTGCGGCCGACCTGCAAACTAATGGTTTTTGGTAGGCGCATGATAACAAAAGCGAAGAAGCGAAAAGGCAAAAGCGGAAAAGCCAAAAGCCAAACAAAAAAGGGAAAGAAAGAAGGATGATTAGAGTCGAGAGACGCTAATCCACACAGCAAAAATGAAAATATAACTATCGGTGGTAGAAGGAAACCAATTGTAAGAAAATAAACAATTAATGTCGAAGACACCAATTGAAACCACAAAATACACAAAAAGCTACATTAGAGTCCAAAGGACACCAGTCTACAATAAAGAAGCAATTAGTGGTAGGAAGACTCTAATTGCAAGAAAAAATATGCAATTGGCGTGAAAACGCTAACTGCCAGAGCGGAGGACTAAGTAATTTGTGCCCAAAAGACGCCAAGAAACTTGCGACACAAATTAAAAGCTATATACAGCACAGCAAAAACAACTACCAAGCTAGAAAAATTAAGTAAGAGAAAAAATAAGAAAAGGAAAAAACCTACTAAAAGTTAAGCCCTGACGGAGGTGGAACCAAAAGTGAGGGGCGTCCATATCCACTCAGGAGAGAAAACGGATAAAAGCCCAAAACCACTCACCAAGCGTGACCCAGTTGGACAGACTACCAAGTAATTAAGAGGCAACATAGGAAACCAGGAACAAACAGTAGCGGCTGTCCAAAAGGTAACACACACGCCTCGAAAGTCGCATCAATACTCACCGCAAGGACGAGCCGAATCTATTCCCAATCGGGTAGAATTCTGCTCCGCGAGCCTGGGGAAAAAACGGGGAACGGCAGTTTTCACACGACATGCGCGGCGAAGGCGCGAGGCTGCTCTTTGGAATATACATTTAATTATCCAGAGTATTGTACACCATGGCAGAAGTTGAACAGGCCAACTAAATTGCTTTGTTAAGTTTGATCCTTTAATGTTTATTTCAGCATTGTGAAAACAATGTACAGAAACAATTATTGCCTTTGCTTGTGGCTGGAATAAAAAGCAGAATGATTTGCTACCTTGCTTTAACTGAGATGTTTGAAGGAAGTGTAATAATATAGCATAAACTGTGTCACTTTAGCCACACACGTTTAATAACTTGCATTTAATCATCTAATCAACGGACCCTACAATCTTCAGCTGAAAATTTCCAAACCGTCATGAAAACAACAGATGGTAGAGATAAATACATTCTAGATAAACAAAGAGTTGAAACGGATGACAAAGACAGAGAAGAGACATTGAAAGACACACCTATATCAAGAAACAACATAAATGAATTAAGTCAACAGATACTATTTCCGAGGGAAGATGAAAATAAGGAGAAGGCTAAAATCACTGTTTACACAATAGAAGAGGCAATGACAACTAACAAAGAGCGCATGCCCGTAAGTGTTTAGTGTGGATCAAAGACCGGACCCGGGAGACGGCGGAAATCGAACCTTTAATAAGGCGGGATCCTTTTATATACTAGATATTTTTGGCGCTTTAGTCATGTTGTTACTTCCCTTTACTTTTGACTAATATCTTGGGTTAGACTTCCTAACTTAGCAATAGTGAGCTTAAGCAACAAAGACGGCGGTGTTTACGAAAACATCATTTCCTTCAAATATTATCGCACTTATTCCAACCGAACACTTTGAATTTGTCAAATGTTGGCAAATTTGTTCTGGGGTTAAATTCTAAAAGACTCACTGTATCGAATTTAAGGACAATGAAAAGAAAGTCGTTGTCTTGTGTTGACGTTGTCCACAAAAGAGAACTTAAGCCGCATTTTCACGTTGCAGTCTTTCTGTGACGGCAAAGAAATGTACAAAAAAACGTAATGCGCGTACAAAGTTGTTTTGCCAATGTAAGCCTATTAGTATTGATTTTTGCCGTTCTCGTTGCCGTTAATGTCGTCGTAGTCGTTTCTTAAGTTCCCTGTTGTTCATAAACGTGTTTGAAAAGGACGTTAACAAGACGACTTTTTTGTTTAAAAGAAATTCACGTCCTTTACAAAACCCGTGAAATTAGACACTTAGTCAATGTACAAGAAACCGTGATGTACGTGCTAAATTGTTGTTTTGTTAATCTAAAGGCCCTCTCCACATAATGCGTTTTCAAAAGTATGCGTTTTCGTTGTCATCGACAACGCGTCGATTGATTTGCGTCCACACTAACATTTTGAAGCGTTTTCTAATCTCCCTATGAAGAAGTTCGAAAACGACAGAGTTGAACTTTGAGAAGTAACTTTTGAACCATATGCGCATCCTACAATCACACGCCTGCCATATTTCGTCTGTCTCTGAAGGCGTATTCTAATTATTGTTTCAGGACCCTAAAGAGGGCTTTCTTAAGTTAAATTCGGCTTCAGGAGAAGAGAGTGGCAGATACACGGTGACTCAGACTAGAAGAATCATCACAAATTCAGGAGCACAAGTTAGTTCCACTACTAACGAGGAAATATCTTATTTTCTTATCAGCTTCTATATATACCAGATTCCCTCTTTAATTAACGCCCTTAAGAAGAAATAACACTAATGATACATTAATCTATTCAAAGTAACATACTAAGGCCTAAAGAATCAAGTCAGACGTAGAAGAGGCCAACTAAATTCCTTTGCTAACTTCGTTAACCAAGTTCGATCCCTTTGACATTTAACTTAGCATTGTGAAAAGAATTCACAGAAACCTGTGCCTCTACTTGTGACTGGGATAAAAAGCAGGTCTTCCTTTCCAAAATGTTTTGCTTCGGCCTTAGTTTAACTGAGACGTTTGAGGCAAGCTTAATAATATAGAATTAACTGTGTCAATTTAGCCACACACATTTAATAACTTACATTTTTTAATCAATAGACCCCACAATCTTCAGCTGAATATTCCCAAACCGTCATGAAAACAACAGATGGTAGAGATAAAGACATTCTAGATAAACAAGGAGTTGAAACGGATGCCAAAGACAGAGAAGAGTCATTGAAAGATACACCTATATCAAGGAACAGCGTAAAAGAAAGTCAGCAAACACTATTTCCGAGGGAAGAACAAGATAAGCGGAAGGCTAAAATCACTCTTCACACAATAGAAGAGGCACTAACAACCAACGAAGAGCGCACGCCCGTAAGTGTTTGGTGTGGTTATGATAATGCATGATCCTTTTATGAACTAGACTTTTTTGGCGCTTTAGTCATGATGTTACTTCCCTTTACTCTTGACTAATATATTGGATCAGACGTCCTAAGCAATAGCGAGCTTAAGCAACAAAGGCGGTGGTTACGAAAACGTCGCTTTATAAAAATTGAATTTAAATTGCTTCGAACTTTATTGCACTTATTCCAACCGAACTCTTTCATTTTTTCGTATGTTGGCAAATTTCTCTGGGGTTTAATTCGAAAAGACTGTATCGAAGTTCAGTTGAAAAAAACGTCGTCGTCGTTGTCCAAGCTCCATATTGCTTACAAAATAGTTTGCTTTGTGAAGGAGGTTAACAAGACTATATTTTCTTGTTCACGTCCTTTACAAAACCCCGGAAATTATTGATATTTCATTCACCATTGGAAAAAT